TAATCTATTAAAACTAAAAATTAAATTATTTTAAAATAATATTATTTTAACCATAAGTATGTATTATGCTTTATTAATAATCTAATATATCTATCGTAAAGTCCATAGTAACACTTAGCAACAAATAAACATTGCACTGACTTTCTTTTTGTCTCACTTTATTTTCCCTCTCCCTATCTCTAAACATTACTCTCTCACACCTATCACGCTCTCCCAGTCGCTCTCCTTTACACCCCTCTGCAACCCTCTCTCCCTCTCCTGTCACCACAACAACAATAAAGTACGACGGGTTGAATGATGTTATTATGCCTAGTCTCATACTATTATTAAAATTATACCAGAAAAGTGAGTCACTATTATAAACATTATATTATGCTAATAGTATGCATTCATTGTTCATAAAATAACATTAATTGTTTTTATAACAGTGACTTATTTTTCAATCAAATACCTAAACGTCAATGAATTTCCTGTGAATTCCCCATTGATTTGTGAAAATAATTTTTAAATGTTGTCAATAGTAATGGAAAATAATATTTAATACAATTATATCAATCAAAATTGTATTATTGCTATGTTTTCGCGTTATATCCAGTGTTTAATCAGTGCCTAAACTATTGATTTATTTGAAATTATTGATAAATTTGTTATCATAAGGTTGATAAAAATACTAACGATTTGTTAATCCATAAGAATATATGCATTAATAGTGTATTTGTATTGAACGTATGTGTTATTTATTGTGCCATTGATTACTCAAACCTTATATTTCTCTATGAGATCATTGAGTATTAAATCATAAATAATAATAAATTATTTATAATAAACACAAAATTGTGTTTTAATTAACCGAAAGTGACTTTCATTCGTATATTGACTATACGTTTGACGTTTGGGTTGTGATAGCATTGAACTGAATGGCAAACCATTATAAATAATACAATAATAACAATAATTATTGTTTTTTTGTTGCATTGTTTTGTGTGTAATATTTCCTCATTTATTCATTCATTCAAACAATTGAAAACAATTTCACTATTTATTGTTTAAAATGTTATTTTTGTGTATATTTTTTGAATTTTTTGTGTGAAATCATAGTGTCTTTTAGTGAACATTAAATAACATTTACAATAATAATACTATTCATTAAATTTTAATGAATAGATGATTTAATGATTAAAACATATTTATAATTAATTCACATTTTTAAAGAAAAATTATAATTTCTAATTCACATTAGTTTTAAAGTTCAAAACCGCATATTATTATACCAAAAACACCATTCAAATAATCGTAAGTATTTTCATAAATGTTATATTTTTACATACATAATATAAACCACAAAATATACAGTGACAATTATGTGACCGCAAATTCTCATAAGTAGAGTACCACCGATATAGGCACGCTCGGCAGTGTGTGTAGCTATTTGCGCATAAAAATAATAATAATCAAATAGTTAATTATAATTTTATTAAAATTCTTAAACAAAATTACTTAATATTAATTATTAGTAATTTATTACACAAATTTTACTGTATAATTTTACAAATATACACAAAACTATAAAGAAATAATAACCTATAATATGCATTAAATTTTTATATTGTGAGGATATGGAGGCCACATCATCACAACCACCATCATCGTCACCACCATCATCGCCACCACCATCACCAAAACCACTACTACAGATATCACCACCATCATCAACATTTACGCCCTCAATTTCCAATACTGCTGCTCTAAATGATGCGCAGATGTATACTATGAATACTGCTGCACTAAATGATGCGCAGATGTTTACAATAATAAACAAATAACATGTGTGCAAACATTTTACCCAAGTTTTGTAAAAATATTTTAGAAATTTTTCCAATAAATTTTTTTAATGATGTATTTTACAAAATGAAAAATCGGTGCATGTAAAATACATGTAAAATACTATGTAAATTACATACGTAAAATACATGGCTTGTCATATTGCCAACCCTACTAAATAATATATAATACAATTTTAACCATGTAATAATATTATTATAAAGTCATTTATTAAATGTTTTTATTAATTATCATCATTTATATATTTGTGATTTAGTAATAATAATACTTATAATGTTAACATGATATATTACTAAAATTTCAAGTACACTAATTAAAATATGAAAAATTTGAAATAATTACAAATTATTTATCGATAGAATACAATCATAAGTAAAATAACAATTAAAGTGATAACAACAAAATGATTAACATTTTTCTGATAATATTGTGCATAGGATTTAGCAATTGCTTTAATATATGTGATTACATACAAACGAATGGCACATATAATGGCATTCAAATACACCGTGAGTTTGAAATGTTGCCCGAATGGGAAAGGAAACCATGGTGGAGCAATCATGCTCATTACAAAAACTCGTACCGAACGTATTATGTGATGCACTCTAAACAATTTTACTGGAAATTTGTCATACCTGATGACAATATTGAATCCACATGGTTTAATATATACGAGCCAAATGGTCCAAAGGTACATGATAATAATAACAATCAAACCTGGATCAATGTGTTTTCGGGTTTCATCTCATTTATGGGAACTGCTTTCTCGATAGGGTCTGAAACGAGTTATCGATGCGATATTTATGATTCGGTAATACTTTGAGTTATGTTTTATCTTTTTTAACAATGTATAAATATTTATACTTCCATTTAAATCTAGTCCAATAAAAAAAGCGAAGCAAATTTGACAACACGATGCCCAATGGATAAAAACACAATACTGTATAATTTTATATTAATTATTATAATATATTAACATTTCAATTATCGTGAAAACATATAATAATTTATTTTATCTTAAAGTGAAATATCCATTAAAAGAGACAAGCATGTAAAACTTTATATACAAATAGGCAATTTAATGGATATGGCGTTATTTATAGTCCGAAATTTACCACCACGTTATTTGCCAGCAATATTTACGAACAATTATACACCAATACTGGTATTATGCACGTGTTGGACACAAATACGCTGACAACCCAAATGTTCAGTTTTGGGCACGCTTTTGTGGGTCCGAATTTTACTACATTATATATTTATATAATGATTTGCAACAAAGACACACCCCAGGTTTTACTGTACTTGTGCATTTTGCACGCTCATGCGATCCCTTTATTTCTGACCATGTTGCCACATTATTTGAAAGCACAGTTGGAGAGTATTGTTGAAGTAGATTTGGATTCTACTTTTAAGGGATATATGCTGTGGTTTAATATCAACGGCCGACCCATGTATTGCTTCACACCTGAAGGCAAACCACTGTCCAAACAAGTAAGAAATTATAACAATGCATTAAATTATGTATTGTGTAAAATTACTAAAATATCATATAATATAATTTAATATAAACTTTACATCAAATTATTTCCAAATTTCTATTTTTATTTATTTATTTTCAGTGCTCTTTAGCTGATAATATGATACCTTTTGCCGATTATTGCTTTCATACTAAAGATAATATCGCCGATCAAGTAATTATTGTTACAAAATAATTTATGTTATTAAGGAATATACATGAAAATTATTTTTTATTATTAATTAATTATTCATTATTATTGCAGAAAACGTGCCAACATTTCAAGATCAATGACACCTACAGTGGTGTCCATATGTATCGGCACTGGTATAGGGATGACAGGCGTCGAGTGGTCTCCACATACAAGTTATACACAGGAATGGGACGGGAAGTGGACTTTGTGTTAGAGCGAACTGACACAACACATCGGGTTATTATTAAACACCTGCAAACATATCACGATTCTAACAACGATATAATATCCGCTGGTTATTTCTTAATAGCAAACGAAAACAGCAAGCACATTTATTATATGTATAAATGCTACACGCAATATATACCATGGAGATCGAATTCACCATGGTGCTTTAAAATTCAATGCAATATACCTATATTGGACAAATGTATCACATCAGATACGATGTGTTTAGGGGGGAAACCAATTATAATGAACTCACATCCGGATGGTTTGCGACAAAATGAGTTATACATATTCATTGTGGACCGGAATACGGGGTCTATCACTGTTTTGAACGTTGCACTAAATAATGGGAAATCACCACAAATTAAATTGATTAATGACAGACTGTGTGCTGACAGTCAGTCAATCTATTGCAAGCGCCCGGAGTTTGTCAGCCAATTATCGGCTATTGGTTTGTTAGGACAGTTGGAGTCGGCCATCGATTACCGACTGTACGACGAGTGCGGATATATGCTATGGTTTAACATTTCAGGTCAACCCATGTATTGCTTCACACCCTATGGAGAGTGCCTATCAATTCAGGTGTTATCATTGGTTATCATTTAATTTTAATAAATTATTAATCTATTATAATAAATTTGTATATATTTTTTAGTGCTCTTCTGGCTATAATATGATACGGTTTATGAGCGACTGTTTTGTTTAAAAATTTTAATATCTTTTTAGATAAATATTAAATTAACATTTAGTTGAATTAACATAATATTTAACATTTAGTTAAATTAAAAGAAATCCAAATTAATACAATGTAATTTACAGTATTTATCATTCTAATGAATTAGTAGATTTGTGGTTTTATTTAATTAATACAAAACTTTTATATTAATTTTTAAAATTTTATAACAAATTATTTATAATATTGTTTAAATGTTTATTTACTATAATAGCATTTTCTTAATAACTCAGTTTAATTTTAAAAATAACAATTAAAATACTGTATAAATTAATTATAATAATAAATAATAATATCAATTTCTAACATTTTTAAATATTCTATAACAATTTACAGTATGAGTAATATTAACATGTTTACTATACAGGATGTTAATTTAACTAATTAATTAACATTAAAATAATAAAATTAATCAACCCCAAAAATAATAGTAGCATATTTAATACAGATCAAGCTATTAAATATTGTAAATGAAAATTCATTACTTAAGCAAAAAAAATTTAATAATGAAAACTTTTTTATTCGTATTGTTTATTGTGGGCACCGATTGTTTTGATATTTGTGATTACATACAAACGAATGGCACGTATAATGGCATTCAAATAACACGAAAGTGGACGGTTAATTTTTGGGGGATGGTTGATTCATACTATGATTCATATTATACAATGATATCAAAACGTTACACTTGGCCGTTTGCCATTTGGTCCGACCAAAACGGGAATGATATTAGTTTGTATGATCCATCATGGACAGAACCAAGAAAACTTAATACATCAAATTGGATAAATAGATTAACCGGATTTGTAAGTAGTACCGACAAGTGGAATTCTGCCAGAAGTAGCTTTATTTGCGATATTGATGAATTGGTATGCACTATAAATTATAGTCTATAATTCAATTACTTATTTATAAACATTTATTTATGTTTTATTGTCAATTAATTAGTCAAATGAAACCCAAACCTCTCATATAATAACCAAATGTGAACTTTATGGTTGGGGGCAAGTATTATCTGCATATTACTAAAATACACATGTTCAATGTACTTACTATTAGTAAGTTGAAGTAGTAAAGCCAAGTGTCATCTCAAAATTAAAATTACATTTTAATGATTAAATTAAGAATTATTAATCATTAAATTGAATGCATATATTAAACACATAGATATTATTAAATATTAAATAATCGCAAACAATATAACAAATCTCATTAAATTATGTATTTAATAATTAAATTTTGTTTTAAATAACGTTTTGTGGGTAGACTGAAAGCCAACCACTAAAAATGGGTGAGAAACTATTAGGTTGACTTTCACGCGGTGTTTCTTGTTTAATACTGACAAACCTAAACTTTTTTACTGGCCGTTGCGCCACCTTTTTATGGCATACTGTGAATCTGTATCTGTGATATACTAAAAAAAGATTGAACACGTATATACTAAAATCTTTGTTTTTAATGCTGAATAAAATTTGCTACACTTATAATTAGTTATAATAAACAATACATATAATGATTATAATAATCTTATTCAAAATTAGAAACATTAGAGACATCACATTGCAATTTAACGCTTATGGCGTTATATTCAGCCCAACGATTATCACCAGGCCAGTTTCTCTGTCAGATCCATTTCACAGTCACCTCAGAGTGTTTGACACCAATACCCTGACAAGTGAACTGATCAGGCTCAACTACTACCTAATATATGGGAAGGCTCCATGGGATGCCAAACCGCATTTCTATATTGATTTGGCTAACGATACTAATGTGCGCCCCCATCAAGTGCCATTATTTCTAACCATGTTGCCCAACAATTTAAAGGCACAGTTGGAGGGTATTGTTGATTACGATTTGGGGCCACACAATAGGGGACATATGCTGTGGTTTAATATCAACGGCCGACCCATGTATTGCTTCACACCTGAGGACAAACCACTGTCCAAACAAGTAATGCAAATATATATACAGAATGAGGTTCTAACATAAAATTATGTTAGCAAGATATTTTAATAGATAATCTATTATAATTGATGTCGGATCGTATTATTTTTGCTCAGGACATCTTATATTTAAATTAATGTGACATTTATTTAATATTTTCAGTGCAAATATACCAATAATATGAAAACGTTTGCAAAATATTGCTTTAAAACCAGAGATAATATTGTCGATGAGGTATAAATACTACAATACTGCCTTGTTTTTTCTTTAGAAAGGTTGCACTGTATGACCAAGATTGTTTATAATATTTTATTAATTAACTTTCTTTGCAGAAAATGTGCCAATATATTAGGATTAATGGCACCTACAGTGGTGTGCAAATATATCGACACTGGTATAGGGATGACAGGCGTCGAGTGGTTTTTACCTTCAGGTTGTCTACAGGAATGAGACGGGAAATGATCGTTGTGTTAGAGCGGACTAACACAACACATATTACACCTATTATTACAGAATTGAAACAGTATTCAAGCGATAACACCGATATTATTTTCGAGGGTTATTTCCCAAATTATGAAAACAACACGTACGCTTACTACATGTATAAATGCTACGCGCAAAACATTCCATCCACACCATTAAATTTACCATGGTGTTTTCAAATCACGTGCCACATGTCCGTAGTGGATACATGGTTTAAATCGGACAAATTATGTTTTAATAATAAACCCGTTATAATAAGCCAACATCCGAGTGTTTTACGAAAGCGTGAATCGTATGTATTTATTGTGGACAAGGGTACCGATGCTGTGACTGGACTGAGCGTTGATGTTAGTGATATGACCGATGGAAATGCCCCGCGTATTACACTTGTTGATCAAATATGGTGTCGAAACAAACGGTCGATCTATTGTATGCGCCCGGCGTTTGTCCGCCAATTATCGGCCGCTGGTTTGTTGGCACACTTGGAGTCCGCCATCGATTACCAGATGTACGACGAGTCCGGATATATGCTATGGTTTAACATTTCCGGTCAACCCATGTATTGTTTTACACGCTATGAACAGCCCCTCTCACCACAGGTTTTCATATATTTTTAATTGTCATTTTTATTAATTATTAATTTTATTATTTGTATGTATTTATAGTGCTCTTCCGCCGATCGTATGATACCGTTTCTAAACAATTGTTTTGTCTAAACAAATAAATTATTTAATATAATTTTATTTAGCAATTAACGTATGCCCAAAATAATCTACTTTAATTTAAAATGTTTTAAGTTTAATAATGAATTATTCATAATTAATTTACTATTTGAAATAGCTTTATTTTTTATGTTATTATAACACGTTCCTTTATTTGATTATTCACAATTTAATTATTTATGATATGCGATTTATTTATGGATTATATATTACAATTTTAAACAAGTCATTTCAGATTTACTATTCAAAATAATATTATTTTATCATTATTATCAATTCACCGAATAATACTGTATATTTAAATATGCAAAAGTTATAATTAAAAATAAAATCATCTTGTTATTAAATGTTATTAAATAATGCATTACTAATAGCAATTTGCTATTAAATTAATAAAATATAAATATTTGCACAATATACAGTTGCTGTTGCATTACAGAGTGCACACTAAACTTCTCACTAAACTCATCTAATAGCATTTTTCAATATAAGTTAAACTATTATAACTATAATAATAATTAAAACTATTATAAATTTCAAAGAATTTAAAAAACAAATTGATGATTATATTTATATTAAGTATGCGTAACACGTGTTGGGTTTATTAAATTCACATTATAGGTGCCTGATCTACACGTGTTCCTATTATTTTACTATTATAATGCATTTCTATGGAAACACACAATAGGGTAAAATGTCGTATACAAACTTACAATGTAGTGTTTTTCAACTAAAATAATTTTAAAACATTTTAATTTAATATTAAACACCAAACTTACCAAGAGTAACATTAAGATAACACATTTAATAAAATGATTAAAATTTTATTTATAATATTGTGGATCCAATCTATCAAATGCCACAATATATGTGATTTCATACAAACCGATGGCATATATAATGGCATTCAAATACACCGTGAGTTGCAAGAGTGCACTAAGGAGCTAAGGGGCTCTAAGAAGCTCAAGTGGTGCGATACATTACTATCTTTGTATTATGTGATGCGATCAAAGCAAATGTACTGGAAATTTGCCATTGACCATGCACATAATGACACCGGTATCCACATTAAACTCGAAAATAATCCAACAAAACACTCTTTTGACACTATTTACAACCAAACAAAGTATGTCAATTGGTTTTCCAGATTAATAGTTATGCACACCTTGCTTCATCGTTATGAATTCACTTATCGTTGTGACCTATATGATTGGGTAAGAAATCATATTTTGATTATATTAATTACACTATGACTCGGTTGGCCATATATGGCGGCCTATATTCGGGTCATAATATACTATATTATAATTTTTATAATTTTATTTACAAAAATAGTCTAAAAGTAACAGCGAAGTGAATATAACAACTCAATGTATAATCGATGATAAGTAAAGAATATTCTTAAAAAATACTTTAATAATAATTATATTGAAGTGATTCATATATTGCAATCATTATACAAGAATGTCAATTATGTTTTATAATAATAGTAACAATACTTTAATGCTAACATTGTTATATAATTATGAATAACTTATTGTTAATCACATTATGATTTATATTAATCTTAATACTAATTAAAAATAATGAATTGTAATTTGTTTACATAAAATTAATTAATTGTTTCTAACAAACCTTTTATTAAATTTTGCTTTAATTATATCAAATAAATATATATTTGTGTGATGACGCCCCTGGAAACATGAAAGGGTAATCAAGCAATCTGGTTGTTTTATTATTGAACCCAAATAGAGACAAGATAAAATCAGTTTCCTATAAAATAAAATTATTATTAAATATCTTATTTACATAATTATTGATAGGGCAAACATTTCTTTGAAATAGACCAAGTCCGCCAGTCCATGATCCATTTGGTAATAATTTACCAGCTTGATTCTCACATATTATATTAATCTTAATACTAATTAAAAATAATGAATTGTAATTTGTTTACATAAAATTAATTAATTGTTTCTAACAAACCTTTTATTAAATTTTGCTTTAATTATATCAAATAAATATATATTTGTGTCGCAAAACAATGTCTTGTTATCATCAGTTTTAATGATCTAAACAATATATTTAATACATTAAATAGTAATTATTAATTGTGCTTATCACATTATTGTTAATTACATTATTAGCAAATGCGGCGATTATTAGACAACACGTTGTGTTTAAATTATCGACGGGGAACCTATGTCAACACTATACAGATTGACTGAATGTAAAATCGTCACAAAAATAATCACCATACCGTACATATACAAAAGACAATCGGCAAATTGGCCCCAGTTGGAAATCGGGATTTGAACATATAACATGAATATACATGGAATAAGGAGTGCCCTGATATAGTCCATATTGCTAAGCTACCTCGGGTTCGACCGCAGTGACCACTTTATCGAAAAAATTCAACTTATCCAATACTAACATGTGATATATGAAATCGATGTAGAATTTAATGTAGAATTAGTATATAGCAATATCACATCGGTGGGATAAATAGATTTTATGTTATTAACTTAAAACTGTTGAAATTTAGATAAAATTATTAAAATAACCTATTATTCCTCATCTCCTATTATCTACACCAACACCACACACATCCCCAGGCCACCTTCAGCACTCTTGACCCAATAGTCATCACCACTAATCTCGGACCAAAAATAAATTGGAATTATATTAAATCTATTTATTATATCGAGATGTTATTATGA